AAGGCGTGATAAGTATTATGTTATACAGTTATATGATTTCATGATGATGATAATGTTATTGCTTTCGTATATTGTTTTATGAATTTCACCGAGGTAAGTGGATGGTAAAGGTTTTATTATTGATAAAATGATTTGTTGTAAATTATGCTCCATTGGTCTTTTTGTGTTTTCTACCCACCTTTACCTCCGTGACGGTGAGATATCGTGATGTCTTTACTGGGCTAGTGTAGCTCATTCCTTATTTAATCATTTCAGATCAGGAAGACATTGTTCCCGAGCCCGTTCCGCAGGAAGACGACGAAGGGGATGCCTGAAGACTCTATAGTCATATTCATAGCTTTTACTTTCGAGTTTCTCTTTTAGTTAGTTTGATTTTTTATATTTTGAGTACGTTTTTAGTTTTAGTGTAAGGGATGTTAATCGAAGTTTTGACTTCGCTTCCGCATTTGACATTTTTAATACACATATTTCATTTTAAATTTCTGAGGCCGTTACAGTGCCAGTGACAATAGTGTCCGACAGGGACCCTAAGTTTACTTCTCAGTTCTGGTCTAGTTTTCAGCAAGTCATGGGAACGAAACTGTCCCTTAGTACTGCATTCCACTCTCAAACCGATGAACAATCAAAAAGGACGATCCGTATACTAGAATTTTTCGAGCTTGTGTTCTTAACTTCGGGGGCCATTGGAATGATCATTTACCTCTAATAGAGTTCACCTATAATAACAGCTACTAAGAAAGTATCGACATGGCTCCGTACGAGGTGTTGTATAGCCGCTCATGCAGATCGCTGATCTGTTGGGAAGAGATGGGTGATAGAAGATTGTTCGGTCCAGATCTTGTAGAGAAAACTTCAGCCAAAATAGTTAAGATCAAGAAGAATATCCAGACGGCTCAGAGCAAGTAGAAGAGTTATACGGATACCTAGAGGAGGGATTTAAAATTTGAGAAAAGTGATCGAATATTCCTTAAGGTCACTTCTTTCAAAAAAATCAGTAGGTTTAGCAAGAGGGGGAAGCTAAATCCCTGATTTATTGGGTCATTTAAAATCTTTGACAGAATTGGCACCACCGCCTACAGACTGGCATTGCCTCCAGAACAATCCAAGGTTCGTAATGTGTTTTATATGTTCATGCTATGCAAGTACAACCCGGACCCCTCTCACATCTTGGCCCGCGAGCCCTTTTTACTCTAGGATGATCTGTTGTACGAGGAGGTACTGGTCAGTATTGTGGATCAAAAGAGCAGAGTATTCCGCAATTGAAAAAATTCCCTTTTGTTAAGATCTTATGGCGGAATCACACACACGGAGAGGCTACATAAAAGCTAGAATCAGACTTCAGAGCCCAGTATCCCCAACTGTTTGATTGAGTAAGAGAAAGACAAATTTAAGGGACCAAATTTCTTTTAAGGGGGGAGAGTTGTAATATCCAGAATTAATTTTAAAATTTTAAAATTAATGTATAAAATATAATTTTTAAATTTATGAATTTTTATTTAATGTAAAAATTAGGAAAAAATAGGTGGTGGATGAAATTGAAAATAATTTTTTGAAAAAGGGGTGAAATTTTTGGTTATGGGAGTATTTTTGAAAGAAAAATTAAAAATTGTGGGTCAAAATGTAATTAGAAAAAATGTGCCGCGTAGGACTGCCCAGTCAGCAGCCCCGACGAATTGAAGCGCGCCGCGTGGCAAGATACGTTGACACGGTGCCACACAAAAGGCCACGCTGGCAATATGCGTGCCCGCGATCAGACGGCCGTGATTAAATGCGATGAACGGTTCAGATTCGTTCTCTCTTTAAACATGATTGTACAACATATATCAAATCGCAATGAATGGTCTAAATTTATTTTCTCTTTAAATGCAATCGAACGATCAAAATTAAATGCGATCCAGATTAAAGGTAGACGGATATAAATACCTCACTTCACATCGAACTCTAACCCTAACCCTAGCTGCCAGCCCCCGGCCGGAGAAGAAGAACCAATCATCAGAGAAGGGAGTTGACTGCCACCTACTGCTGCACTAGAGCCACCTCTGACTGCCAAAAACGGTTGACCGAAGAAAAACATCAAACTGCGAAGGTGAGCTGGTGGAGTCGCCACATTGAAAAATTTCGCCGCTAGTGAGTTTTTATTTTTCGACTTTTTTTAGACAACCGAGACCCCTTGACGTGTTTTCTCGTATGGATAAGTATAAAATCGACCGAAAACGGCTAGTTCGAAGCAAACCACTGCCACTATGCCGAAATTTTGAAATTGGCTGGAAAAGATTTTTAATACCAATTTTGAGTTTTTTAGGGTATTTTTAGGTACTTAAAGCGTGTTTTAACCTCCGAAGAAAAATTTAAGAAACTCGGGGACCACCATTAGGTGCAGTTGAAAGCTTAGTATTTCGGACATCGATTCGAGTAAAAATCTCTCACTTTATTCCCTGTTATGGAATTAAAGTCTAATTATAAGTAATACGGTATTTTGTGTAATTTAAAAAATATCAATAATTAATTACATACTACTAATAGAGGCAGAACTGGTTATTTATAACTGTTTGTCCTTTTTTAACTGATTGTTTGATCTTACATTTTTGAATGAATAATAATGCACTAGAATTGGTAAGATAATTCAGTTGTGTTTTCTAAATATATGTATTGTTTGTTCTACGTGATTTACCGTTAAATTGTGAAACTGAAAATTAAATGTAAACGGAAAATTGCTTGATTAAGTGAATGAATGAATGGTAGTATTACTGGATATCCTAGGAGATGGTGGACGGATCGGGTACATAGAGAACCCTACCGTGAATGTTGCCTCATACTGGACGGGGTATCGAGGATTGGTAATTTGGTGCTCATACCGGACGAGATATGGGGACGGCCCATTTCATCATCATATCAGACGTGGTATTGAGCGATGATATTTTTGACGCTCATACCGAATGGGGTATAAGGACAACCCGTTTTACTCTCATACCGAACGAGATATTGAGGGATGATATTTTTGGTACTCATACCAAACGGAGTATGATGATGACCGATTAGTTGATACTGTTGAATAAGAGTTCACGCGTAGTGAGGACATCCCCATGGACCCTACAGATATTAGTAAATAGATAAAAAGAAAAAATTGTTGTTTTGGCTAATTGAAAATGAGATTATGATATTGTTTGTGTTATTGCTTCTATAGGTTGATTTTGAAAATCTTGCTACAGTATGTAATAAATGATTTTATTTATGATAAATGAATTTACTTAAATTAAAAGCTCTATTAGTTATTTTTATGATTTTTACCAACCTTCATTTCTGTATCAGTAAGTTGTGTGACATTCTTACTGAATTAGTGTAATTCACTCTTTCACTATTTCAGATCAAGAGAACCAAGATCCAGATCCAGATCTACAAGAGGGTTGCGAATAGAATGTAAAGTTGTTTACTTTCCATTTATTTCTTTAATTTTTCGTTTATTATTTAAAAAGGTCATTCCAGTAGCCCTATTGGGTATTCTAAATTATTGAGTAAGGAATGTAAAACTTTAACTTTATTATTTCGCTTCTGCATTTAATTTATAATTTATTTTCTTTTATATTTCGGGTCGTTACAAATATTGTCACTAAGATTGAAATCGTCACATTCGAATAGAATTAGTGTTATTTTCTTAGAAACTTAGCCATCATTTTATATCTCTAAGATGAATGAACTTTGAAAAGTCAATAAAACCCTTGAAACAAAAAAAAAAATTGGACACCATAGACATAAAGATCAGGGGCATATTTGTAAAATTAGGACACTAACATAATTTGGGCTTTAATATATTCCTAGATATTGAATGGGCTCCAAATATGGATTTGTTTTCAAATACAATTTTAAAATTTTAAAACAATTGTAATTATATATAAAAATTTAAATATATAATATATAATTTTTATAAAAAAATATTTATCTATTAAAGAAATTTAACATTTTAATAAATATTAAATAGAAAGTTAATATATAGTATCCAAATTTTTGTAGCAAATTTGTAAAAAAAAAAAAAATTATTATTTAATTTTTTCAAATTTTTGAACACTAAAATAATGGTAAATTATTTTTTGAGAATATTAAAAAGATAATAAAAATTAGTTATATTCTAAAAATATCTATTTATCTTAGTTATTTTAATATTTTAATAAATTTTAATTTTAATTTATTTTTTATAAGGCAGATTTAATCCAACAAATTAAAATGTTGATTTTTATTCGTGTGTGTATATATATATTTATATTTATATATGTGTGTGTGTGTGTGTGTGTGTAATCGGTTTACACAACGCTCTATTTAGCACTGCATTTCCAAAGGAAACACTTTCAACAAACCTAGAAAACCAGAAAACAATGGTGTTTCTCTCTGTACCAAACGGGAAGATAATCTCTTTCAATCTAAACCCAAATGCTGCCTCCCTGTCTACCCTGAGACAATTCATTCACCGCCATACCCAAATCCCACTTTCTCTCCTTCACCGGCATCTCATCTTCCCCAAACCTTCTGCTTCCCTCGTTTCCCACGATCCCGACTCAGTTCTCCTCTCCCAACTCGGAATCACTCACTACACGACATTAACCCTCCACGTGCCTCTTCTTGGGGGTACCCAGCTACCCGTTCCGCCAAAACCCCGTCTTGACTTCCTCAACTCCAAGCCTCCTCAGAATTATGTTGCCGGTTTGGGTCGTGGTGCTACGGGTTTCACCACCCGGTCTGACATTGGTCCGGCTCGTGCTGCTCCTGACCTTCCTGATCGGTCTGCTACCACAATTGGAGGCGCTGCGAGCTCTGCTGGACTTGGCCGTGGGCGAGGGAAGCCTGGAGAAGAAGATGAGGAAGATGAAGGAGACGACAAAGGGTATGATGAGAATCAGAAGTTTGATGAGTTTGAAGGGAATGATGTGGGCTTGTTTGCTTCTTCCGAGTATGATGAAGATGATAAAGAGGCGGATGCGGTATGGGACGCGATTGAGAAGAGGATGGATTCTCGCAGAAAGGATCGTAGAGAGGCAAAGTTGAAGGAAGATATTGAGAAATACAGAGCTTCCAACCCGAAAATCACTGAGCAATTTGCTGATTTGAAAAGAAAGTTGTACGCTTTGTCTGCACAAGAATGGGAAAGTATTCCTGAAATTGGAGATTATTCACTGAGGAACAAGAAAAGGAGGTTTGAGAGCTTTGTACCAGTGCCAGATACATTGTTAGAGAACGCAAGGCAGGAGCGCGAGCATGTTACGGCATTAGACCCGAAGAGCAGGCAGCTGGTGGAACAGAAACCCCCTGGTCACAGACACCTGTCACGGACTTGACTGCGGTTGGTGAAAGGGAGAGGTACAGTTTTGTCATTGAAGTTGGGATAGGTTGTCAGATTCAGTCTCTGGGTTTGACTGTTGTGGATCCAAAATGGTACTTGCCTGACTTGAGGAGTATGAAGATCACCAGTGATGCAGAGATTTCGGATATTAAGAAGGCGAGGGTTGTTGTTGAAGAGTGTAACACAGACAAATCCCAAGCACCCACCTGGTTGGATTGCGGCTGCAAGGCTTGAGGAGGTGGCAGGGAAGATTCAGGCAGCTAGGCAGTTGATACAGAAAGGATGTGAGGAGTGTCCTAAGAATGAGGATGTTTGGTTGGAGGCGTGTAGGCTGGCGAGCCCAGATGATGCAAAGGCTGTTATTGCTAGGGGAGTGAAGATGATACCTAATTCTGTGAAGTTGTGGTTGCAGGCTGCAAAGTTGGAACATGACGATGTGAATAAGAGCAGGGTGTTGAGGAAGGGATTGGAGCATATTCCAGATTCTGTGAGGCTCTGGAAGGCTGTTGTTGAGTTGTCAAATGAAGAGGATGCTAGGATTTTGCTCCACAGGGCTGTTGAGTGTTGTCCACTGCATGTGGAGCTGTGGTTGGCACTAGCAAGGCTAGAGACCTATGATAATGCAAAGAAAGTGCTTAATAGGGCGAGAGAAAAGCTGCTTAAGGAGCCTGCTATATGGATAATGGCTGCAAAACTGGAAGAGGCAAATGGGAATACTGCTATGGTGGGGAAGATTATTGAGAGGGGTATAAGAGCTTTGCAGAGAGAAGGGTTGGGTATTGATAGGGAAGCTTGGATGAAGGAGGCTGAGGCCGCTGAAAGGGCAGGATCTGTTGCAACTTGTCAGGCAATTATTCGAAACACGATTGGGATTGGAGTGGAAGAAGAGGATAGAAAGAGGACTTGGGTTGCTGATGCAGAAGAGTGCAAGAAGAGGGGTTCCATTGAGACTGCTAGAGCTATTTATGCTCATGCCCTCACTGTCTTCTTGACTAAGAAGAGCATTTGGCTTAAAGCAGCTCAACTTGAAAAAAGTCATGGAACTAGGGAGTCTCTTGATGCTTTACTGCGTAAGGCAGTCACCTACAGACCACAGGCTGAGGTCCTGTGGCTTATGGGCGCTAAAGAGAAGTGGCTTGCTGGGGATGTGCCAGCTGCTCGAGCAATTCTTCAGGAGGCATATGCTGCAATACCCAACTCAGAGGAAATTTGGCTTGCAGCATTCAAGCTTGAGTTTGAGAATAATGAGTCAGAGAGAGCCAGAAAGCTTCTTGCCAAGGCAAGGGAAAAAGGAGGCACAGAGAGGGTATGGATGAAATCAGCAATTGTTGAGAGAGAGTTGGGAAATGTTGAGGAGGAGAGGAGGTTGCTTGATGAAGGGTTGGAGAAGTTCCCTTCATTCTTCAAGTTGTGGTTGATGCTTGGGCAACTTGAGGAGCGTCTTGGCCTCTTGGAACAAGCTAAGGGTGCATATGAATTGGGGTTGAAGCACTGCCCAAGTTGCATACCCCTTTGGTTATCCCTTGCTAGTCTTGAAGAGAAAATGAATGGCCTTAATAAAGCTCGAGCAGTGCTCACTATGGCTAGAAAGAAGAATCCTCAAACCCCTGAGCTCTGGCTAGCTGCAATTCGAGCTGAATCAAGGCATGGCTACAAGAAGGAGGCAGACATCTTGATGGCAAAGGCACTACAGGAGTGTCCAAACAGTGGTATATTGTGGGCATTGTCCATTGAGATGGTGCCCCGGCCCAGCCGAAAATCCAGGAGCATGGATGCTGTCAAGAAGTGTGATCATGATCCCCATGTTATTGCTGCTGTAGCGAAGCTCTTTTGGCATGACAGAAAGGTGGATAAAGCGAGGACGTGGCTTAACAGGGCAGTGACACTTGCTCCAGATATTGGGGATTTCTGGGCTTTATATTACAAATTTGAACTTCAACACGGGACAGAGGAGAGCCAGAAGGATGTTTTGGCAAGATGTATTGCTGCAGAGCCGAAGCATGGTGAGAGGTGGCAAGCTATTTCTAAGGCTGTGGAGAACTCTCACCAACCTTGTGAAGCCATCTTGAAAAAATTAGTTGTTGCACTTGGAAAGGAGGAGAGTGCTGCCGAAAATAGTAAACAATAGTTATTCGTGCTAGCAGAAACCCTTTTCTGACATTGTAATACCAGCGGCATGTTTCCATTATAAACTTTGCTTTTGTAGGCATTACTTTCTTTGTGATATCTTGAACATAGATTATATACATACTGAAGCATTTCTTTCTTTTATTTACTTAATTTTCAGATTTTAAATTCTAGTGGTGGAGCTTATGATATTATTCATATGTTTCAGTATGCTAATTTATTTTTAATGTTTTCATTGTCTCACATAAGAGGATTTAAACTTGATTTCTGACTCAGTATAATTTGCTTTTAAGTGGCTTCTGCCATTTACTCTCAAGTTTTAGTGACATATGTCTAATTTGCTCGTATAATTTGCTTATTGAAACACAATGACACAGATATATAGTTTTTTGTGGCTTGTGTTGTTTAAGTCATTAGTTAAGCTATCAACACCAGCTTCTTGCATGTGCTATGTTGTTCTTGTCCTTGATCGTTTGTGTTTTATCAGTCACCAATCTCCTCTCTGCACAATTAGATATATCATATGAATAACAGCTTGTCCTCAATTTTGTCAATTATCACGAGTAGATAACCTTAAAAAGTTATCTTGTCCTTAACAACTTCCGTAACATGCCTTGGCAGATCTAGGTCTTTTCAAGGTCATTTCCTCATGTAATTAACAAAATTTAGGACAAGTTGTTATCCATATGATAGATCTTTTCTGCGGAGAGGAGATTGGTGACTGATAAAGTTCAATTTTTATAACCATGCCTTGGCAGATGTAAGTGCTCGGTGGGTGGAAGAATATCTCTTTTGGTCTGTTTCTCTTGGAATGCTTAACAAATTACTCTGAAGCATCCAATAGTTTTTGAACTAGTTCGTGGTATGGGTTCACTTAGCTTTTGTTAGGTTCTCGGGTTTGGATCTCTAAAATTTGGGAATCAGATTTAAGGGGTTAAGTTAAGAAATTGGAGTGGAGTGGGATTTTGGCGATTGAGGGAGAAAATGTAGGAAGGAAAGTGAAGTATCTTATGTTCTAACAAATTTACTTCAGACATTGAGATTAGTGAGTCAAGGAAAAGTAGGTGCCAAAGTGAAGAGAAGTGTCCATCAGGCAACCTTTCCTTCTTGGAACTAATACATTGATTCTCTTTTTTTTTTTTTTTTTTTGAGAAACACAATATGTGAACTTAGTTCCTTTGGAGGTTGCAACATAAATATTGGTATTCCTCTTGCTATAAAAAGGATTCAAATCTATCCATCTCCACACTGGAAAGAAAAAAGATATTAGAGAGAATGTGTTCATAAATTGTTGTTATGATCAAAATAATGAACCTAAGAAGTGGTTCATTCCAACTTCAAACCAAAATAACATGTAAACCGAGTTTACGCCTTAAAACCAAAATTTAGCATGCATCATATCTTGTACCTCTATTCTGTATCATGGTTAAACGTATTACATTTCAGATGACTACATAATTCTAACACTGGTGTGTTCTTTGTTGATTTGTGTCCATTGATTTAGTTTTTTTTGCATGTCTGTCTGAGGTTTTCAGTTGCAGCAAAGTATCATTTCCAGTAATAGAGTAGATATGATATATATGTAAAACCATGTCCAGTAGTCATATAATTTATATACTCATGTTCTTTTGGCTTTTGGCATGATAATCATCGGTTTTCTAGATCTTGTGTTTGCATTTCTTGTCTTGGAACATTATAATTGTTAGATAAATTAAGATATTTATTCTTTTCTTTTTCAAATAAAAATTAAGATATTTATTCTTTCCCAACACTGAGCTACAAGAAGAGGCCCTGTCAACAACTAAACAAATAGAGTCTTAGAGATCAAGGAGCATGAAGAGATTCTACGCCAGGATTCTACTACTCTGCTAAATATGGTAATTATCTTAATCGAGATGTAAATTCTGTACTTTGGGGGGTGCTCCCTTAGCACTTTTTTGATATTAATACTACTCTTACTTTTATTTTTAAAAAAAGGATAATTACATCAGGTATAATTGTTATTTTCTTATTTAGTTGTTATTGGAGATGTATTCTTGTTTGTTGGTTCTCCATGCCCATATTTGTGGTTTCAGATTGCAACTAAAAATCTCTCCACTTGCAAACTCGCTCCCTCAAAAATAAGATTTGTTTATTACATATGTTCTGTAGCTATATGTGTCCTCGTGCAGGTATAGAAAAATTTATGTCCTGATGTTTATTGCAGGAAGTGACTTGCTTCAGCCCGTGGTACAGTATAATTGATTTTTAAAAGCTAGATGGTTGGTATGAGCATATATTCATGTAATACAAGTATAGCAGCTTTCTACTGCTTGGGGATTTAGTGAGGATATGTCTATTAAGTGCATAAATTCTCCTTCTTGCACTTTTGCTTCAGCAGCGATTTTTCTTTCTTTTGTTCTCTTTGGAATAAACGGTGTGGCATAATTAGGAAATTGCCAGATAGCCTGTGGGATCAGCCATCAAGCTTCCAATTTTAGCTGATTATTGGCGGTTTAGTTGTGGAAAGTACTATCTTCCTGATGAACCTTTAACAAATTTTACTTTATTTGTGTGCTTATACCAAGAGTTCTATTTTGTGCCTCACAATGGTGTATATTATTAGATGATGGATTAGCATGACAATTCTAGCAGCAATGACTTGTTATGGTAAATCAGAATCATGTCAGGCAGTTTTTCCTAGAGCGCAAGTTGATGGTATTTGAGCTGTTTGGACACATGTATCTATATGGTAATTACAAGTTTCTACTGAGCTGCTTGGACATAGGCATTGATAGGATTATTTGTTGTTTGATTATAACATTAGTACTTTGATAATTTTGATGTAATAATTTTTTCTGAATTTTGTTTTGGAAAGAGAGTGCATTGCTGCAAGGCTGTGTCCTTTTGGAACAACTTAAATTTTTCTTTTGTTAATGGAACAAGTTACATTTTTATGTGTATGATTATGAGCTTCACGGGGTCATTAATATAAAATTTCTATAGAAAGCCATTAATAACACTAATATTCATTTTTGTGTAAAGCTAACACCCCGATACTCAGTTCAGATTCTTTCAGTTTTGAGCTTTAACTTGTATCTGTCTAAACTTGACAGGTTCATAGAGATGGAATGTATGTGATGGAGACTCCTACCAAGAATGGAGAAACATTAAGCTGCAAGGAAGAGAGAGAACAATTCACATTCAAATCATAACTGTTTTCTGCAATCACTTTTCAAGGAAAAGGGATAGTGAACCTCACTGTCTTTCTGTCAACTTCAAAAAAACATCATCATTTACAAGAGGGAAAAATAGAGACATCCTCTGAGACAGGAAAGGTATGCCATCTTCAGCTTTGATTATGCGTCGTATTTGAACATCTTGTGGATACTAATTTACACCAACCCAACAAGCTTCTCACTGAGCTCCCACACCTTTTTAGCCTTCTCTACATCACTGGCCTCCTTGGAGAGCTGGTTCTCAAATGAAGCCGAGTTCTGGTTCCAGCTCCAGTAAACCCCTGATTTTGCCAGGCTCGGATCACTAACCACCTGAGTCAAAACATTTAGCTTAGCACCCAAATATTCACAAATAACATCATTGGAATGTGGGCTTTTCACTGGGAAAAAGCGATGTGTGATAGGATGCTGGCTGTGTGCTCTGGCTCTAGGCCTTGGCACACTCTTAAGTAGTGACATACACACTAAAGAGTGTACTATAAATGATATTTTTTGTTTTATGTTTTTGTAAAATAAGGAAAATTGGCCTTAATTTGGTGCATTATGACGGCATGCTCCACACTTGGAACATTACCAGTATTACCTTAGAAGCGTGTTTTTGTTTCAGGTTTTTTAACTGACCTGTGCTAATCTTTTCCCAGCTTCCTCCTCTGAAACATAGCCTTTGGTGATGTATTTTTGGAAAGGTGGAAATAGAAGCCTGAACAAAGGGATATGCTCCCTGAACAGTCCTGTAGTAGCGATACAACCTGGGTATAGAGATGCAAAGGTTATTCCAGTCTCGTCATGGAAGCGCCTGTGGAATTCTTGCATTGTTAGCATGTTGCAGACTTTGCTGTCTTTGTAGGCCTTGGCACCATCAAACTCTCCTCCGTCTATCATTGGTGCGGTATTTCGTCCATTCAAGCCTCCCGCAAGACCTCTCAAATCTCCAAGGTTAGCTTTTGGTGGCACATTTCCGGCCAGCGTGTTTGTGTTACCTAGAATTGCATTGAGTTAATTGGCTAGTTATTGATGATCATCTTGTGATTAACAATGAGGGTAGCTTTGTACCTGTAATGGAGCCAACAATAATGAGACGCTTAAATGGATAATCTGATTGCTTTAAGTCATCAAGTAGCAGCCTTGAAAGTAGAAAGTGACCGAGATGATTAGTCCCTACGCTAAGTTCAAATCCTTCAGCAGTAAAAGTTGGTTCCTTGGCTGTGGGCAAATAGACAGCAGCATTGCAGACAAGCACATCAAGTGGTCTACCCAGACGACGAAAATTGTCTACAAATTGTCTGACACTGTCAAGGGATGCAAGGTCTAGATGAACAACAGTGTAATCTTCCTTGGCAATGCCAACTGATTTAGCTGCCCTCTCGGCTTTGAGAAAATTTCTACATGCCATGATTATGTGCCATTTGCCTGTGTCCGCTAGGGCCTTTGCGGTTGCTAGACCCAATCCAGATGAGGCTCCAGTGATTATCACAGTTCCCTTACTCATTGTCTTCTTTCCGTCTGGTGCAGACTCGGTTATTGCTGGGGTGGTTGCTGTCTGGGCTCTAATGGTTCCAAAAGGTAGGTGCCCTTTTCTGTGTTCCTGCAGGGTAAAAGCCTTTCCTTTCAATAACATTCAAATTGATTTAGAAGATATTTGCGATTATCACAGTACCCTGAATATTACTGGTACTCCAGCATACCAGCTTATTGCTGTTTCTCTTACTCTTGCACTCACTCTTATCCTAGTATTTGTTCTACACTCTTATCACAGCTTATTTCCCTTGAAAAAATGAGACTTTGTCATTAAGCTCTAGCTAAGTTAAACTAAGTTAAAGTTTTCTTGCTTATACGAGAATCTAGCTCTAGCATTACAGACACTATAAAAGAAAATGCATAATAATTTGTTTAATGTGGAGATCTGTAGGATTTTGGTTACCTTGGCCATTGTTAATGAAGGGTTGAATTCAGTTTTGCTGGAGTTTGAGACACAAGTGCCAAACAAGCTTGTCTCTTTAAGAGAAGCATTGCACTTACCCTGCCAACACAACACCATGAAATCAATGAGAAGTTAACCCAGAAGAATCCCTGAGAAGCAGAAGCAAAACCCAGAAGCTGAAGCAGGAGCAAAACCCAGAAGCAGAAGCATACCTCTTTGTGAATTGTAACAGTAGACGGAAGAAGGGAGGTTGCCTGGAGAGCCATGAGGATATAGGAAGGTACCTTTCTATTCTGTAGTGGAGCCAATTAAAAGGTTTTTTGTTGAGTGATGTTATGATTTATTTGAAGATGCAGAGATAAGGTGGGAAGAAGATGGAGCTCGCTGATAACAAAGTTTTGACATGTTGGCAGGTCAATTGTGTCATCCAATCAGGTTTTTCAGTTTTGGATATGGTGTGATTATTTGTTTTGTTTGTTGGAATTTGCTTGCACAGTCCAGAGCCTTCTGCTTTTTCTTTCTGTGCTTTTGGGTTGGGCTTCAGCTTTTGGGCTCACACTGATGCTGTCTGTACTTTTTCTTCAAAAAAAAAAAAGCACTTAAATTGTACATATCAGAAGTTCATTGAAAAGGAATTATGTAATGATCATAACATATATATATATATAGACTACATACATATGTAATAGAAGGGTAAATTACAGTTACTACAATTTTTGACTAAATTTAGAATCAAAATTTACTTGAAATTTGGATGAGGTGGTACTTCTCTACCCTTAATAAGTTGGAAGATGAATGTTTGACTTTTGTTTGGTATAAAAGTAATATATATATATATATATATATTACGGTGTATTAAAAAAATTAAAATTAAACTTGATTTAAATATTTACAAAAGATGTTTTCTTGTCCGAATTGAATTTATACAACATGAATGGAACAATTTGGATATTATTGTCTGAAATAAACTAATTATCCCACAAGATACTTGGAAAAAGCAGATGAATTGATATGAACAGCAGCATTAGATTACAACTGAGTTCCTACCAAGATTTACTCGGCAAAATCATATATATATATATGTATACATATATATATGTATATATGTATTATATATATGTATATGTAAGTTTTGCTAAATGCCAAAGGCATCTTTGTCTTTTGACTCCCAATGACTTCAATCTTTCATGCCTATCCACTTTTATATATATATATATATATATATATATATATATATGTATATGTATATGCAGAAGTAGATTGTCACAAGCACACCCCTTCAAGACCACGTCACATTTGGTTGAACCAATGCATAGTTATCTAACGTGTCTGCTTATGCATCTTTACTTATTTTATTATTAAAATGTTAAATCGGGTTTTTTTTTTAATCTAATTACTTTAATTAAAATAATTAAATAATTATAAAAATATAATAAATTCGTTAAAATTTATTTTAAATTATCGTAGTACTGTCGACATATTAAATTAAATATTATAAGTCACTCATCATCAATTCATAATTTAATAAATTTATTAAAATTTAATTTAAAGTTTATTAGTAAGTTGAACTTCTTATTTCAACCGAAGAAAATAGTATTTACAGATTATCGGTTTATAATATATTCATAAAATTATAAATTTTACGTTTTTAATAAAATTTAAATTATTGTTAATAAATAAATATAAATACACGTATTTGTGCATTTTTTATATATTTTTTAATTATTTTATTATATTAAAAATATACATTAATTAAACTAGAGTCATTTTTTATTAATTTCTCAAAGTTTGAAATCAATTAGTAATTAATTAAAGTCAATGTTTAATCACTTGAACACAAGTGGATTAGAAGAATTTATAAATATAATTTTGTTCAATAATTTTCTTATAAAAAATTTAAAATAAATTAATAATATTAATATAATCTTCAAACTCACTCAAGACAAATTATTATTTAATTTAATAATTAAAATTTTATCAAATTTTCTAATATCTTATAAATTATATCGGTTTAGATAATAAAAATACATATAATTGTTGAATTATAAGAATTTGAATTTAAAAATTTAATAATAAATTTGAGTTTGAAAAGTTATCGAATTAGTAGTGTTTAAACGTATGATATTATAAATTAGTATTAGAGTACGTGTTAGTTTAATAATCTCCGTTAATACGATCTTAAATCTTATAAGTATTTAGATTATAATTTATAATTGTGTAATATGTAATATGTAATTTTGAAGAAGACATAAATTATTTCATATCACACATTTTGAATAGATTAAAAGCCAAAACACACACATGTATATATATATATATATTTTGGGTTGATCGTTATCGTGCCGTCACAGATTATATGATCTCATGGGCCGGTGACTGGGCCCAGCTTTCACCATCATTAAGCAAAACAAATTAATAATAATTTAATCCTAATTAAATAAAAGCTTAATCATAACTAATTAACAACATTAATCTTGGATTAGCTCTTTAATTTATTAATTAAATAATTTAATTTATATCACGCAACATATTCTATTTATTTGGTTTGATTCCCAGACAAGAAGCACTTCTTCTTGCAAAGAAGATAAAGAAGGTGATATTAATCTTCTGCATCTATACATTATAAATTCTCACTATCGTTATTAATTTATACGGTCGGTTGGATCGAGTTTATATTTATTCGTTTATAAGAGATTGTATATTCAAATCAGATTTACGAATTCTGGGTTGTGTATGTATTATCTAATTCGGAAACATGTAATAGGTGTTGCAGATACTAAACATGAATGAACAGCATAATTAGCAGTAAAAGAAATTACAACTGGGTGGAGAGACAATAACATTGTGAGTAATAATTCTGCTGCTGAATATATAGATATGCATATATATATATATATATAATATATAACCAAATATGCTGTTCATAAAAGCAGATATTACAAGAAGAAGATCACAATAGTAAATTTACAAAACTGCCCACAAATTGGCACCATGCCAACATTCACTGAACAGAAAAACAAAGTCAGTGATGGATATGGACCATGGAGATCACAAAACTGTCTCCATCTTCTTCCTGGTCCTGCCACTACATACATGCATACATATATATATATATATAATATATAAATATAATAAGCAAACACTAAAATCAAAATTCCACAAGTAAAAATGTAGAAAGTCTATGAAGCTAAACTTGCCACTACCAAAACAAGAAGGCCTAGAAATATGCAGCCAGCAGATTGGAGTGGAAGTAGAATCTAAAAACCTGAAATTCAAACTGGGTTGGGAAAGGAGAAATCAAACAACTAAAAGGTTGGTTCTTGAAAAGTCTGCACCTGGAAAATGAAGGAAAAATTTTTGACGAGTAAGAAGAAGTCTAGTCTGTAAATCAGAGGTTGGTGGAATGAAAAATCTGCAACCAGTTAGGGAGAAAAACAAAAATCTGACGGGTTTGATTGACAGGAAGAGATCAAGATCAATCCTGATCTTTCCAGAAGAAAGGTCTCATGGGACAGGAAGAGGAAGAAGAAGAAGAAGCAGAGCCTGTATTATCTTGCTCTCTGTAATTGTGAGTTTGTTCATGTTGACTCATGAATTCTTGTTCCTGAAAACCCAGATTTGAAGGAAAGAGAAGATTACTGGTAGTGTCTAAATCATCCCATACAGGACTTCCAGGACCCCAGCCCGCTGGAATTGAATTAAACCAAGCTTCTGCCACGGCTCCCCAAGCCAGCTCCTGATTATCCCCTGCACCAGAACCTTGTACTTCGTCATTCGCCGTAGCTTCACTCGACCCAATTCCTGAATCACTGTCAGGATTATCCTCCTGCGGCGGCGGAGGCGGCGGCGGCGGCGGCGGCGGCATGGTTTCAGTGGTGGAAATCTGGAGAGTTGGGAAAGAAGAAGCTGCTGAACATGATGGTGTGGAAGCTGATTTCTCCTTGTTGAAAAACCGCTCAGGGAAATTTAGTCTGGCATTTTCGCCTCTCAACTTGAAGGCTTCACGGTCGTAGGCCATGGCAGCGTCTTCCGCTGTGTCAAATGTGCCGAGCCAGAGACGAGTCCTGTTGCGAGGAAGACGAATCTCGGCTACCCATTTTCCCCAATGCCGTTGCCGTACTCCTCTGTAAAGCTTCGTGGTGTTTAATGGCTGTAATGTTGGTCGAAACAATGGCCGATTATCTTGACCAAATCTGTTCATCATCATCATCATCCTCCCTCTCGGACTCGGATTCAATGCATTACTCCAGTACTGAAGAAGCTGTTGTTGCTGATGTTGGCCCGCCATGGGTGATTCTCTTGTAAAAAATGGAGGATAACCGAGATTTCCATGTTGAGGACCGAAAGAAATCATGTGTTGCTGGTTCTGATGAGGTTGAAACGGTGAGTGAAAAGCAGGGAGTTGAGAAGAAGACGAAGTTGGAAACTGTTGAGGAAGATTAAATGGTCGTTGAGATGAATCGAAAGCGAAAGGAAACATAGGGGGAAAACCAGAAGGAGGAGGAGGAGGAGGAGAGTTGCAGAGAGTTAGAGATGGATCATGGCCGCCATGACGGTCAGGGCTACGAATCTTTTTCAGAGGCCTATCAGACATGGAAGATTCATCAAAAACTGTCTTCCATTGTCTTCTCTCCAAACTCAACTCAAGATCTTCTTCAACTTTCCTGTCAATCTCCCATACCTGATCTTCTTCTTTTCCCATCATCGTCTCTGGTTCGTCAACACAAACACCCTTCTTGGATTTCCCACTCTTATTTCCCGCTTCCATGAATTGACACACAAGATATCAAAAACAAAAACAATAGATTCGAAAAATACCCAGATCAGATTTCGGCCTAAAGATTATAAAAAAAAAAAAAAAAAGACAAAAGACCGAATTTTTCAACAAAAAAAAATGAAAAAAACAGAATCTGATGGATAAATTCGAAAATTTAAAACCACCCACTCATCAAAATCTATGAGTAAAAACCAAACGGAGAACAGAGAGTGAACCAAATCCAGAAGGGGTTTGTTGTTGTCTTCTTCTTCTTCTTCAAGTGATTTTGGTGGTTGTTGGAGTAAGGTTGACAGATTTTTTTGCAGAGAGAGCGGGGAGGGTGGAGAGATTTTTATGTTTTGAGAGACGAAGGGACGCGAGAGAGGGTTTATAAGAGAGAAGGGGAGAAGAGGAAAAGATTTTTTGTCTCCTTTTTTTTTAATTTTTAATTTTTTTTAAAAAAGAAAATGGAAGAGGAAAGTAGAGAATTTGTTTAGGTGTTCTGGTTGGTTGGTTGGTTTTGGTTGGGCCCCACACGGATTAGTCCACGTTTTTGCATTGCTTCCACTCTAATTTTATTTTCTTTTTTAATTTTATTTAATTTTTAATTTTTAACTATTTATTATATATATATATATATGTTTGTGTATATACACATTAACACTATTTTTTATTAAGGTATAAATATTTTTTAATAATTTAAATATTTTTTTCTATTTATTATTTATTTTTATTCAATTTAATCTCTATTTTAATTTTTTGTTAATTCTATCTCTATGTTAAATTTATTATATTAAATCTGAACTAATTCAGATCATTCAATTTTTTTTAAAAAAATTTTAGAATAGTTCAATTCAGTTTATATTTAATTTTTTTTCATCAAATATCACGGGATGTCTGATATAATATTTTATATAAAAAAATTAATTAATTAAAAATATTATTTATCAAAATCAATGATAATTGATATAAAATATTTTTTAAAAATATATAAATTATTGTAATAAAAAAAACAAAGATAATAACCAAATCAAATGAAAAAATAATATAGAAACAAAAAAAAATATTTTGACCTTTAATTAATCAAATAACACATATACACGTATCATAATATACTTTTTTATACATATAAAAACATACAACTCAATTTGAATTTACAATTTTTTATAGAAATAGAAACTATATAAATTATTTAAATAAAAATTTATATAAAAAAAATATATAAATTTTCAAATAAGAAATACTTGTTAATACAAAATGATGAAGATGCAGACAAGGCAGGGATTTTGAAGGGGTACAATTAATAAAAGACATGGTTTATATATTTATATGATTTGTTTGCTGACGTGGCAAAATATGATTGGCGGCTGCATATCAAAATATGCATGCATTTGACATTTATCACATATGCATATTTTCTATAGCACTACAACAAACAAAAATACAAAAATGCATTACTATCTTTATATACCCAAATTTTTAATTTAATTTTTGTTGATAGCATTTTGAGAATAAAAATTAAATAAATTCACTTAAAAAAATTTTTTTTTTGAAGACAAATTTAATTCTAGCAAGAAAAAATAAATAAATTCAATTTTAAATTTATTCAAAGAAAATTTTAATTTTAGGGAGAAAAAATTGAACCCAAAAAAAAAATATATTCTTAATTCTATAATGAGAGAAAAAACATATAGTATTTTTAATAACAGCGATCGGTGATGGTTTTAAAGTCAAAAATTACGGTATATAATTTTTTAAAAAATAATTTTAATTTTTATTAAAAATTTACACTTGAAATCTCAAAAATTATTTTTACTAAATATAACATATGTTTTTTTTTTTAACTTTTACAATCATTTTTACCAAAATTAAAATTTACTTTTAATAGATTTAAAATGAAAATATTTTTTAAAAAAATAATTTTGATTTTTATTAAAAATTTCAAAAAATATTTTTATATTTTTTTGTAATAAAAATATTTTTTATAATTATGTTTATTATATACTAAGAAAAATATTGACTAAAAATATTTCAAATTTAATAGATACTTAGTATTTGGTCATAGCTAGAACATTTGAAATCTTGATTAGCTTTATGATGTTACCTTGCTATTCAATCTATTAAATTTTTTTTTTTCTTGATTAACCAAACAAAAATCTCGTGTAACATATGAACATGATGAGTTGATTTAGGAATACTCCCAAAATCTTGGGTGTGCATACATATATACATATATATATATATATGTATGTATGAGGGTGTACGTGTGTGTATAGATATCCACACCCAATTAAGGAGGTTGGGAATTGGTCTCGTCAATTTGACTTATTGGATCTCTAATTGCACCTACATTGGGGAATCAAAACCGACCAAATTTGAAAACCATATCCCAAATTAAACCCAAAAATCACCACCTCTACTACGTTCATTGTATTATATACCTACATATTATTCTCTATTTGTTCATTTCTAATTGAACGTTTATGATGCCATTTTCACAAAACTAATTTTTACTAACCCCCCCAATTACATCTATCATTTTTATATATTTATTTGATGATTCATTGATGATTAGGTACCATAATTTTGTTGTATTTACACACGGGTGGCGAAATTGTTTTTTTTTTTTTTATAAAAAAATATCTCACAATTATTTTGATATTGACAGTTACCTTTACGAGAAAATGTTGGGAGTTTTAGGTATCCAAAAAGATACGATTCCATTTCCAATAGTAAGTTTATGAATCATATGTATATATATAACTTAATAATGAGTTGATTATATAGACTAAAATTACCCACCTAACAAAACCTAATATTGTAAAAGTTCAGAACTTAAATGAAAATAAAATTGTAAATAAAATGCGGAAACGAAATAATAGAGTTATGATTTACATTCCTTACACAATACTTTAGAATGTCCAATAAGAGTATGAGAATCTCCATTCTAAACGAACGAACGAAAATTAAAGAAATAAACGAAAGACAAATAACTAAGTAATCCTATGACGACCTTCATTACCTCTTGAATGGAGTGCGGGTGTGGTGAACTATTTACAACCTCCTTGTTGATCGGAATCTAAATATTGATCTTCTTGATATGAAATAGTTAATGAAATGGTGAACTACACAACCCCACTAAGAATATCACAATAATCACATATATGAAAAATTGAAGATTGGTAAAAATTAGAAAAACAACCAATGAAACCCTTAATTTAATGTAAATTAATCCCTATGTATCAGGCCCGTCTGCCCTTTTTCGTGTACTCAATAGGTTTTTCTCATACGGATTTTCATCAACATAACAATCAATCATGCAATAACTATATCTCATTTTATATTCACAATTCACTTAAACAACAATATAGTTTAACATAGCCAAATAACTAATTACCAAAATACTAGCACGCAATGCAGAGAAAAAAAATAATAAAATAACCCAAAAAAATCCTAAAAACCATCAATTGAGTTACGCACAGTATAATAGTAAATAAATATAGGTAATACAAAAAAATAAATAGAAAATCAAAACGACTGTGAACTAACCGATTTCGGCTCCATTAATAACTTGTAATTATTTTTAAGGTTATCTAGTTTTTCATAAAAAAAAACACCAAATTATTAATTATTAAGCTTCAATTTGCCGTAATAGAGAAAAAAGTGAGAGATCCTTACCCAAAACGGTGTTCAAAATATTGAACTTTCTACTGTGCCTACTGGCAGTCCTCAGATTTTTTGAATTTTTATGCGGAGATTAAAACATGCTTCACGTACTTGAAAATAATTCAAAAAATTCAAAATCGGTATTAAAAATCATTTTCGGCAAATTTGGAGTTTCGGCACGGTGGCAGTTCGCCTTAGCCTAGCCATTTTCGGCCAATTTTGGCTGGTTTCGGCCGTCTTTATATATATCCCTACGAAAAAATACATTAGGGGACCTCAGTTAGCCAAAAAAATTAAAAAACGGAAACATACCAGTGGTGGAGTTTTTCGGGTGCGGCGGCTCTATCAGCTCACCTTCGCAATTGGGATTTTTTTGTCGATCAACCTGTAAAAACCATAATGGTGAAAAAATTGCGCAAAAGGAAAAACAAAAAGGGGCTCATCGGAGAAAGTTGCGGATTTTACTCGCAGTTTTTGGCTCACTCGCTGCTTGTTTTGCTCTGATATGTCCATACGGGTGCTCAAAATCGAATTCCAAGTGGGTAGGGGAATTTTTACTTTTTTCGCGGTCGGAGATGGCTCCGGTGCGCG